GGGGAGTGTAATTCTCCAAATACCCCCATAAGTTGAGATATATGTCAAAATGTCCCTAAACGATATGGGCACAGAGGAATGGCCTTTTGGACTGACATGTTTGTGTTATGCCCCTGTCAGGTGGGTGTGCAAATTCACTTCGCCTTTGCAATTGCACCTACGAAAACGTGGCAACTGCCGGGGCATTTTGCAAAGTTGGGCAGCGTCCGGTAGGGGTACATTGCAAGGATGGGGTCCAACTGATGACTGGGGTGTTTCACAAAATGTTTTTGTCATCTTCCTTCGCCGCAGCGTAGCTGAGGCGGGTCCACTTGTAAAAGTTAAAATCTAAGCTGTTTGTCTGGGCGCCCCGGGCACCCAACTTGTGCCGGATACAGGCCCGAGTGTCCAGCCGGGCATGAACCCCGGGGAGGGTCCCAGGCACTGCGGGCAGCCCGAGCACAAAAAAAAAATCAGAAAAATCCAGGAAAAAAATGTATGCTGTGTAGAGTTGCAATACAAACGACTTTTGGCTGAGGGTCACATCAGATTTCCTCACAGAATAGAAGATAAAAAAAGAAAACAACAGAATCACACTAAGGTACCCCCCTTTAAACTTTAAAGTTTAAAGTTTAAACCCCTTTAGCCCGTTAAATCCAGTTTATAACCCCCTTCTCCGCCCCTTTACAGCCAACGCTCGAAAAAAAAAAGGAGCTCGGATTTGGGCTCTTCTGGCATGGTGCAGAAAACCTTCCCCCCCCCCCCAAAAAAAAAAAAAAAGTGGAGGGCTGATTTTTGCCTGCACACGGTGCCCCGTGCAGGTAAACCCCGGACGACTTGCCCACAGGTTGCACGGCCATGCTGCACGGTGGGGCGAGCATCAACTAAAAGAGTTCGCTGTGTGGAACAAACGAAGAAAAGCAGACAGCATGACGCACTCTGAAAATGTTATTTTCAATCTTTTCAATTCCTTTGCCTTTTCCTTTGCAGTTCTTTCTCTATTGTTCCTTACTTGTTTTTTTTTCACCGTTTCTCTTTCTTATTGCTTCTTTTAGCTTGCCTCACGTACAAGGCTCGCCACTTTGCTGCTGAAGAGCGTGAGCTGCCTACATCCCCGAGTGCCCAAAACGGCCCACTTGCAAGCTATGAAGAAGAAGGCAGAGTAAAGAGAGCGGGGTCAAAGAGAGAGGAAAGATGCAATGAAGACAACGGAAAGTAAGGAGTATGGAAACAAGATGAGAGCATAGGGAAGGATAAGAGAAGA